CCCTTCCTCCTCTTCTTCCACTCTGTTCTTTTTCTCCACCTACTTCGTCTTTTTCGGTCTCTGATTTTCAGCATTGTGCCATTTCTCGATCACGTCTCCTTCCACTGTCTCGACTACACACCTTTTACCTTCTTTTTCTGCCACCCCCTACATCTTTTTCTGCATTTTCACTGCTTCTCCTCCTCTGTTGTTTGACATATAGTTCTTCCTGAACTATTTACTGCTTCCTGCATTGTCCTCCTTCTCAATGCTTTCTCATTTTATTCTCTCATATCTATACTTTCTCTTCTCAGTTCTTTTCACCTTCACTTCCCCCCTTTTTTGTTCTATCTCTTAAAAAGTTACCTCTGCTTCTTTTCCCCTCATTTTCCTTCCCTGCTTCCTTGCCTATCTTATCTCGTATCCTTTTCTTCCTCTGTTATCTGCTTCTCCTTCCCTGCAGCTCTTCCTTCTCTCCCTTTTACTCTGCTTTATCACTCTGTATCTTCGGACTCTTGCTGACACCTCACTTCGTTGGGCCACTGCAGCTGGATAAGTTTTGGCTTCTGCTCGCTGTTTACTAACCAGCTGATCCTGCTGTTTTTGCATGCAGCAGCCGGGCGATTTTGAATCAATTATTTTTAACACTGCAAAATCGACAGTTTTCTATCATGAGCGCCGGGGTTTGTAATAGGCCTCTATATGAAAACAAACTGCAAAAGCAAGCACTTACAAAGTGAAGCGTCTAATAGCTTTCAGAGGAATTAGCAAATCCAGCGAACAGGCCAATTTATCAAGACATCATTAGCATTTATGTCAAACAAAAAGTTCTGATATGTATATTATGAATGTTACAATTCCCTATATTTGCTGTCAAGAGGTTCTGATAAATCCTCTCTATGTGACGAGTTTCACCATTGCTGGGATGCATGCATCTGCCAGCAGGAGTCTCCCTCATATTTCAATATAATAATATCAAATAATTTCAAAATGCTTTCAGTTTAGAGAAAGAATGAATAAATATTCCACTACAGCAGATTCTTAAGAAAAAGGTCTGCTTTGATGACTTTGTCTGCTTTCCTGTTGAGCATCATCTGCAGCACATCGTCTCCCCTTTTACCCACATCTGTAAATCTCTGTAGAGCAGTGGTTCTTAACCTGGGTTCGATCGAACCCTAGGGGTTCGGTGAGTCGGTCTCAGGGGTTCGGCAGAGCCTTCGCCATGACATGCATGGCTCATTTTGTGCACCAGTAAAAAAATCACATTTTATTTTTCACTAAAGAGGGGTTCAGTGAATGCGCATATGAAGCTGGTGGGGTTCGGTACCTCCAACAAGGTTAAGAACCACTGCTGTAGAGGAATCCTGTCCTATTTCTAGGATCACCAGGAGTCGATAAAAAAATGAAAAACTGTGTGAAAATGACTTGGCTCATTATTTTTTTATTACAGCGTCATGAGCCGCAGGTTCTGTGAATGATGCAATGAGCAAAAGTCAGGTTTTGTCTGTTCCTCTCTATCGGTTCATCACAGCAGCTACAAGATCTTTGGCAAAGGTAACAAACTGTGTGTGACATTTTTCAGAGGTCCCTCTTTAACTAGTCTCTAACTGCAGGATGCCACAGGCAATAAAACCAATACAACGTTACATTACATACATAACAGTAGTAATGTAATGGTGGCAATCTGGGATATGTGCAGTGACATCACCAGTGGGATCACAAGTGCTGATAGTGATAGTCAGTTTCTGTGTTTATTGTTGTTTCCTATGTTTATTATTGTCTCAATAGACGCTATAATGCTAAAAATGAGAGAGCTGGATTAAAAAAAAAACATGTATGTAGCAGAGACAGGGACATTTAAGTGCACCTGTTTAAAAAAAAATGGGACATTTTTGCAACAGCAGCACAGAAATTAATAGGAGTCATGTAGTAGTAATGTTTCTCAAATTGCTTTTGAGTTAGCAAGTGTGCGCATGATGCTTATTGGGATTAATGAGACAGACCACATAGGAGCATTAATACCAACCAGATTAAGTTGGTCAGTCTGGGCAGGAATGCTAGCCTCGGGCTGAGAGAAGGCAGGTTGTTTAATCGGATCCCGTGTTTTTTTTTAACTTTACTTAAACAGAAAAGAATTTGCAACCTCATACATCTTAAACTCTCCAGCTTCTCAGCCACCTAAGCAGCTTTTATCATTCCTGAGCATTTTCCTGTTCTCTTTTCTCTCTTCTTAGTTCTCCAGTCTCTCATTTTTCCCAATTGCTTCCCTTTTGAAATATTTCCCGCGTACGATAAAAGAGAATAATTGACAGCATATGTTGGAAAATGTGTTCAGTGTCACACTCATGAGTCTGATCTCGTAGAAGCCTTGTTTCTGCAGTTTTTCATTGTGATGGTTTCACTTCAGTTGAAATAATATCTACTATCTTTGAGTTTATAAAGCCCTTCAAACTCATCAGAGTAACTTTCAAAGTACTCCTTTATCTGAGCTTAAAATGACAGCTGACATACATTACTGCATCATCTTAATCCACGCTGAAGGTTATAAATGTTTGCTGTGTGTGTGTGTGTCCCGTTTCCTCTGATGTTTAGAGCCATAATTGCACTTAGAATAAGTGAGATCATACACAGTTTTCTGCTGCTGGCACTTTTTATTCCAGCAGAAGGAAGATGTCAACATCAATGATCCCAAATGCCATTAAAAAACTGCACTAAATCTGTGGGTGGACTGCCTACCCTCGCACAAAAACACATCATTATCTTTCTTGTGTTTTGTGGTTGTGCTGCTGTATATTAATTTCTATTCACAACTCTATATTCCCGACTCCAAACACTCCCACGTTGCGGTGCTCACTTAAATCTGACACCTGCTAAACTTTACGGTGAACCGCTTGCGTGTTTAAATGAGTTTACCAGGCATGAAAGTTGTGCAGCAGCCATTAGAAAGTCATAAAAACAGATCCCATCACCCTGCAAGGTCTACTACTTTACCATATGGAAGACTATTTAGATGGAGGTAGATAAGCAGCCTGAGGACACTCAGGATATTCCACACAAACAATGATAATTTAAAAAGCCTCAATTCCTTCTATTTTCTTATACAGTGGTATTAGTCTTGTTAAATACTTTGCTAATTAGATGCTAATTTGTCTGCTGTTTGGTGCTGGGAAACAGCTGCCTTTTGCAATTGGAAGTGCTGATGAGAGTGGAACAGAAACTAAAAGTTGTGAGCCTTCAAATTCAAGACACTGAGCTGACGGATGAAAGTTTAGACTTTAGGGGTTGAGCCAAGACATAATTTGTGCTTCTTAGAAGAAAAAATGTCCAACTTAGTAGAAATTAACATTTATAGGCTGAAACAAACAATAGTTCAGGCCTTCATAGCTTTTATTGTTCTTTGATTACAACTGTACATTTTACTGACTAATTTGTATTGAATCGTACAAAATATACAAGAAGTTTGTGCTTAGTTTTTGTTATTACTCAGCACAAATGAGTAGACTGATCTTCCTACATGTTGCACCTACTGGAGCTACTTGGCCATGGAAATCAATGCCATCAAGCTCCTGGTGCAGATTTTGTGCAGATGGCAGAGGAGCTCTGCAGTTACAGAGTGAGGAGAGTGTTGGTGACTTTTACACACTATGCGCCCCAGTAGTTGCTGTGGTTTCTAAACACGTCGACTTTACAATAATGCCACTTATGACTGATCTGAGTTTGTCCATATAACGTACAGATCTGGATCGGTCTATCAATTCATCTTGCTCACCCAGCTAGCTCGCCATATGTCTAAATGTGGTCGCACAGGTGTAGAGACTGGTCGGCGAGCTGGCCACCATAGGCCTCTGGGGAAAAGTGTGTATTCCATGACCAGTTGTGAAGTGGTTGCTTGCGGTTGATGGCAACTGCTAGGTGAAACTGGTAGAACAAACAGGTATAGAGTGCTGCACCCAAAACCTTCTAGCAATTGTTTTGATCACTTGCCTGTAAAAGATTGCAAAATAGTTGTGAAATGCACAATGTAAACTGGAAGAAGTGATCATTCACCACAGTGCAAAACTTCAGACTTTTGAAATATGCTGGTAATGCACAGCTATTGCTTTAAAGGTGACGTTTTGGAGAAGTCATCAACCGGGGATACACACTTTGCCCTCGCGATCAGAGATGAATGACCGGTCTTTTGATCTTCGTAACTGAGGCTAACATCTTTCATAAAGAGCCTGAAATCCTGAAAACAACTTTGTTTCTCCCAATTTAAACCTTAGTTTATTTATCTTATACACAACATTCATTCTTGAGACAAATATTTCACCATTTATTCTTTCTAGCTTGTTGTCATCTGCTTCCTTATATTGCTAGGCAACCATACATCACCAGGAAGGAATCCATATTGTTCCAGGAAGTTCAACTCCAAGCTTTTTTCACCTCACTGACACTGCTGTTTCTCTAAAGCTGCTCAGTGTCTGTGGGGGTGTGTGTCTGTGTGTGTGTTAGAGAGCTGAGTGAAACATGGGGAGTGTGTTTTGGGGTAAAGGAATAGCTGAAAGGGGGAGCGTGTCTGTGTGTGTGTGTGTGTGTGTGTGTGTGTGTGTGTGTGTGTGTGTGTGTGCGCACCAAGAGAAAAAGGGGGGAGGTGGGGGTTAGGAATCTGTTTACAATGGCCTGAGGGAGCTGCCGGAGAGGGAGAATCAGTCTGATATTTGGAGGTAGACTGCGAGAGAGTGCGTGTAACACAAAGAAAGAGAGTTTTGGAGAAGGAATAAATGAAAGAAGAGGAAGGGATGGAGCCCTTGGGAGGATTAAATACAAACTGAAGGAGTCATTTAAGGCACAAGTTGAACCAGGAGTCACAGGAGGGAGATTGCAGGTTGATGCAAAGCAGCAGCCGTTCCTGATCTCCACTTTCAACCATGCAAATAAGATTTAGTTTAGTTGCATGCATGCATGCATGCATGCAGCAGAAAGCAAGTTTATGCATGCATTTATATCTTTTTGTTATTTTTGCTCTTCTGTGTTTTCAGAGTTTGAGGAGCAGTTGTACGACACCAAGCTGACCGGTCAGACTTTCCGGCATCCGTCCTCACAGAGCTCCGACGACACGTCCACCTCCCTCAGCCGATCGCCCATCTCCCTCAACAACAAGAGGCCCGACTTCATCTTTCTGGTAAACACACACAGACGCACGCATGCAGGCTCATGTTTACACCCATCTTATTTGATCAGGAGGCTCCGTCACACCAAAATGTCACCTCTCTGCTGAACAAACACCCAAGCTCAGATTTTATATGCAGCTATTTGAAGCTGCACATCTTTAACAAGCAAATGCAATAAATAATCTCCACCTTTCCTATTTTAAACTCACTCTTTTTTCCACCTCTTAAACCTGTGAAACCTGACTTCATCCTGCTTCTGCTAAATGCACACACACAGACACACACACACATACACTGTGTCCACTTCACTTATCATCTTCGTTTTTCTCTCAGAACAGCAAGACACCAGACTTCACATTCCCGCTAAACTCCTGCTAACCTACTCCACCCGACTCCATCTGCCCTTTTGTGGTCCTGTTTGCACTCTTTATTATTTCTTTATTGTTTCCAATCAGTGCTTGATATTCATTTTATGTTACCTGCCTCATTTTAAAGGCTCTTCCCCCTTTACAATAAAATTATAGGCAGTATAAATCTATCTCTTTTCTCCATTTCATTATTTTTCGATCATCCTCGATACAATATCCCACAAAAGCCCATTCCTTTGATTAAATCTTGTGTATCTTGCCATTTCATGCTCACTGGAATCATCATTTTAATTTGATTTATCGACCTTGAGAGTGCGGCTATAAATAAAATTGTAATCCTCAAGACTTTTTCAAAATATGGAAATGGTGAGCGTTTTTCTAGCAACAGCTTTTTATTTAGTTTATTGTTTTTTCTTTCTGGGGTTGTGCTTTTTATGCAGGACCTTTTGTTGTTGCTCTGGGAGTTAGCTTTGTGGTGCAAGATCTGAGATGTGCAGATTAGCCACAACGTTAAAACCACCTACATAAGTGTGTGTAGGTTTTTCTTCATGCTGCCAAAACAGCTAGCTGCTGGGGTATGGACATGGCACCTCTGGTGGTGTTCTGAGCCTGCACCAGTACTTTGGCAGTGGAGTCTTTATGTCCTTTGGGTTGCAGGATAGAGCCTCCATTCATCAGACAGCACATCTGTGCATGCTTGATCAGACTGGGAGCCTTTTTGTCATGTTCTTCTGTAGTATTGTCCTGCTAAGGGAGTGTCAAATTTTGACAGTTCCTATCTGAGTAAGATCCATAATAAGGCCAATGACCCAAGCAAAGGCAGTATAAATGACGATTGTAGCTTCTGTATGTGAAATGGGAAGCCAATGCAGTCTTCTTCTCACCAGCAGGGGTGATACCTTTGCTTGTAAAAAGCTCCTGGTTTTTTAGAGACTTGTGGGTAAATGATCCCGAACCCTCAACATTCAAACAGAAAAATAACAACTTCTTCATAGTAGGACCTCAAAAACTAAAAGTTCACAGCAGCTATATCCATCTTTTATACAGTCTGCGGGCCTTAGATGGAAGATACATGGTAGCGTAATAAAATGATTAACGTTATTAGCTAAAGAAGCAATAGGCCAGTCCTGTACTGAGCTTCATGCAGAAGCTTTGCTGTAGAGAAGACATAGTAGACATAGTATCAGCAAGACGTACTTATAGAATAGATTTGTCCAACAAAATTTGTCACGTTGACCAAATTTCTCTTATGGATCTACACAGTTGTCCTGAATGTCCACACAAGTTATTGACGCAACTTGGTAGCTGATATTTCTACCTGTTGTATACAGTATACTGTATACAACAGGTCTCCTAAATATCTGGCAAATGATTGGTTGTATCGTCACCTTTGGATGGGATGAAACTCTTTCCAAGGTTGTGACTGATTGGAATCAGGGTGTGCCCACGGGCTGACAGCCACTGTCGCAAATGCTTGCAATCATTCACTGGCAACAAAAAATTCAATGCAGTTCCTGAACAACTACTAGTTTTTCCTAGTTGAACATAGGTTGCCATCCCGTTTTTATGTTTTAGCCATTAGTGGCATTAAGGCTCCTAAAAGTCTTTAATTTCTCTTTTTGTTATAGTATGACATGCCAAATGGAAACTCAGTCTGCGTTTGGCATCTTCTAATTGCTGTGTCTCTGTTCACATTTACATGTCTGTGCTTGTGTGTGTATTGCGTCTGTATTATTTGAACTTCTGCGCGTTGTTTGTACTTGACTGATCACTGATGCAGATTTGCTCCGCTCAATGAGGACTGATAATAAAGACTCCATCCTTTTCTATTAATGATTGTAACTTGAAGTTCGGAATGAGCATGTCTTCTAATTGGCTGTTGGACAGCTTAATTCAGCAAATCGGCGACACAATGCACTATTCCAACAAATTACTGCTTCGGCATATCAGACGGTTTTACAGCTAAAAGTTGTGTTGTGACAAAATGCTTCACTGCTGTTGTCATCATCCCTTTATTTTTTTCCCATGAAGCCGAATTATCCGAGAACTGTTGCACAGTATATCCCGCCCCCTCATTCAGATTTCTCAGGATTAGTCATCGTCCTTTTCACACTCTCAGCAGGTTTCTACAAACAAATGCCAAACCATTTAGTGTCTTCCAGATGGAAGTATCATTAGCACTCGCTAAGAAATCAAAATAGCATGTGACGTAAGTGCTTTCTTGTCAGCCGGCGCCTGCACATTGAGGACTTACTGACTGATTTTTGAAGGCGAGAAAGGGAATGCAAACATAGATGTTAAATTGCTTCAGGGTGTCTCAATGATAATCTATGATCACAATTTGTCAAACAGGCTACAGCTATACATAGAGCCTCTCTCTTTTCACTCTTTCCCTTTTCCATTAGTACTTCTCAGTCTATTTCCCCAGCTCATTGAACTCCCACCGTGATTTTACTGCAAGATGGCTGCACATTTCCTGCACACCGACTGACGCAATATTCCTTCAGCGAGCTGCTAAAGAGCTCTCTTAACCTAATGCCTTTCTCTCTGTTTGGGCTAATTTCAATTAGAGAATGGCAGATTCCCACGAGATAGCTTTACGTCTCTCACGAGGCGGAGGATAGACTGGAGTGTTTCCTGCATTGCAGCAGCCTCGACAGTTTCATTGCCTTGCTTAAGGGCAGAGATGCCTGATACTGTAGATCTAATGGCAGACAGTTGACAGATGCCCGTTCCCTCACAGCTGGGATTGCACCTTCCTGTTGCCATCAGGGACAGAACGAACAGTGTCTCTGCTGCTCTGTCAGTTTCCGTCCCTGTCAGCTAATCACGTCAAATCAATGTTTTTCTTTTTTATGTTTCTAACTCACTTCAGATTCACTTCTGTCGCTCCTCTGCATTAGCTCTCTCAGTTTTATGAGACAGGTGAAAATGAGACAGCATTTTCTCTCGTTCTCTGTTTTGTAACCCTGCTGTCTGCTTATCTACCCTACTGATCCTTCCTCTTACAGGCATTGAAGTTGCTTAAAGGGGACAAAACATTTAATTTTGGAGGAGGTTGATGAGTAGATGACCTCCGCCGGCTGTCTGGACTCCTATAGGATTTTGGTTCTATTGATTTTTACTGCAAATTGAATTCTGAGGTTATTTTGTTTTTCTTGTGTGTTTGAGCCAGTAACAGCAGTTTAAAGGGGAAAAGGGCTTTATTGGCTAATTTTCAAAACAGCTTGGGCAGAAAATGAGAACAATAACTTTTAAAGAGTTTGAGAGTACAATATGAGAGAAATGGAGATCTTGTAGTGAGGAAATTAGATTTGAACCATTGGATCTCAGGATGCATTACCATGACTGAAGGGGAAGACAATATTTTGGATTTCACTAAAGAAACTGACTAAAATTATTTGGATTTCAAGCAGCATGTTAGATTTTCTTTTACTCTGTAGGTAGCCTGAAACATTTTTCAAATAATCTCACTGAGTGCAGAATCTATGATTTTTTTTTTCTACATGAGAAACACTCACGTTTTGTTTTGTTTTTATTAAAAAGTAAAGCCTTTAGCCTCCAACATTCAATTTGTATGAAAATGAGTAACCATTATTTAGCCATGTATTCAAGCCTTCCATTAAACAGAGGCAACCAATCAGAATAAAGTTGGCCTAAAACAATGGATGAGCTGAAGAGCTACACCCAGTCACACCTCGTGACAAATAAGGATTATTTTGAGCTGGGATTCATACAAAGTTCATCATGTAATGAACAGGTCAACTTTACACTACCTGCCTAGTAACATGTTGTCAGGTTGCTCGACCAAACAGAGTAAAAACAAGTTTATGAGACTTTAATTTCACACCTCCAAATGAATACATATCTATTTCACTTTAACTCCTGGACGTGTAAATGTAAAAGCTAGCAGTCATTTATGAAGGATGCACAAATATAGTGTCTGAACATATTGGCATTGTTGACTGATGTAAGCTTATTGCCAAATGATGTGACATCTACTCACAGTTGCATTTATCTATTTCATTACATCAGCTTATAGCGACTAACTGTTCGAAGGTAGTGTGATGTAATTTGAACATGTCCAGCATTTTGACTGGTACTGTATGTAATATAATATACGATTTTTTTCAGCCCATAATTCCACAGTAGATACAGCCCTACTGTTCATAAAGGTGATTATGAGAACCAGTAACAAGTGGTTAATAAATGGATGAATAAATAAATATGCCGGCTCCATATTTATATTTACAGTACTAAAAAAGAGTATTTGCCCCCTTTCTGATTTCTTTGTTTTTTCCATGTTATGTGGCATGTTTTATTTTTTAAATAGCTTTTTTATTATTTAGTTTGAACATGAAGCTAAATAATAGAACACCAGTTCTTGCAATCGCTTTCTTTCCAGCTGTCAGAACAATTTTGATCAAATACTGATCTTTCATCTGCACGTCCATCCAAATAACCAAGGTTTAACACCTATATGGCATGTTTTAATGCTAAACAAACATAACCCAACTAAAAATAAGTGATAATTCTGCCAAAATCAATCCAAAAGAACATGGACGACTCATCCAGGAGGTCACAAATGAACCCAGAACAACATCTAAAGAAGTTCATGATTCAAAAATAAGAAAGAGAGTGGGTAAAAGGGCTTTTTAAAGTGTCAAATATGTAAAAAACTAAGAAATCAAGACGTAAAAATACTTTCGACAGTACTTTCTAAAAGGTTATATATATCTTCCTGGGGAAATCAGACCCTTTCAACCATTCTCGACTTCAGTATATCAAACTGTGCATCACTATTTGATGACATAGCGGTTTTCCCTTTCTGCTTCTTCTTGCAGCCAGCATCAAAGCAGCTCTACGAAGATGAAACCACCTCCTCTGTGTTTGGTCTGAGGTCTGTTACCGACCTATCTCCATCCCCGTCTCCATCCCCCTGCAGCTCAGACCGGCCCCCTCTAGGCTGGAGCAGTAACAACAGTAGCAGCAGTACTGCCACGTCGGCCACTACTGGACCGCCAGTCGCCGAAAAACCTCGCTGGCACCTGGGAAGACGCACACCGGCACACTTCTTACCACTCGACGTCACAGGTACAAAAGTGAAATGCCCAAAATAGTCTAAGATCAAGTGTGGTTACAATTGCTAATGCTGTCAGTATATTTGATGCAGTCTTAAATGACCAAATAAATTTACAAATTAAGAATTTTGTTGAAACTGCAATGTGAAGGTGCACTTATAAGGCAATGGGAGTATTTCTGAAGTCTATTTCTTGCTGTGTTTCTCAACAACACTGTGGTGAACTGACAGGAAAGGTGAGTGTATGCAACTGATTGAAAGTCATTACTCTGACACATGCATCTGAGTCAGCTGAGCCTCCAGGATGTTTTCATGGCGACAGCATTACAGAGGTAGTGCTGCATGAAAATTGCGGACAAAGTCAGCATAGAAAGTGTGATACTTCCTTGATCTTTCTTAGAAGTTTTTGGACTGGCACAGCTACAGTACCTCTGAGGGAACACATGAATGTTTCATTGGCTGGACCAGAGTGATCCCGAGCCATCAAAGTAAAAAGAGTTTGCTGTGTTTTAATGGGTACGTGTAAACACAGAGACGATTGGCATCCAGTCTGTGAATGAGTGGTAATGTTTCCAGTCCAGCTGTGAGATGGTCAACAGCTCAAGTTGTGCTCATTTTAAAGAAGCGCTCAAGTGATTCGTGATTCATAATCAGCAGAGTTTGGGTCATTCATTTAAAAAAAAAAAAAGGCAAACATACTTTAGTTTCAACTTCTCAAATGTGAGCATTGAGCATCTTTGGGGTTCTGGTTGTCATTTAGCCAACTCGAAAACTCAACTTTGAGCCATAGATGGAAGATAGACACCCCTAAGCATACCTGTTAGTCAAATAATCATATAATAATGGAAAATGCCATTAGTTGGAGCCTTGTCGAAGATGTCAGATGCTTATTGAGTAGAGGGGTTAGACTGAGGTTAATTATCTGGGCTGATGAGAGATGTGCCGAGATGCTTGTTGATTGGTGCAGCCAGGTGCCTTTGAGCCTTTTTCGCATTTATTAGAATTTATGACTTCAATATGAAATTTCACTGAAAAATAATTCAAAATTAAATAGATTAAGCCTGAATATGAGATTCTATTGGAAATGAATGATCATTTGGCAGCTTTCAGATGGCTCCTGTCATGTTGAGAATAGAAATGATTTTATCTCCAAATAAAGATGGTTTCTGTGAGCAGTAAAACAGCAACACTGTTGGTTTTAGAGTCCTGGCTTTGTGAGGGCCTTCACTGTCACCTGTGCTGTTCTCGAAGGAGTTGTGTGACAGCTGTAAAAGTGAGAGTCATGGCAAATCAGACTCAAGGAAAGCTACAACATGCGGTAAATCTGAATTTTCATCCCTTTGGAGGTCACATCAGTCCAATTTGGCTTTAGCTTCTTTGTGGTTGTGTATTAAATGCGTGCTGGAAAAGCAACACAATCTTGTCTTCCTCCAAAGAAGAAGCTCCAGGCTGAAAAACAGTGCTAATATTAATCTTGCTCAACAAATTTGGCAGATACCTCTTCCACATGGTGCATGGTCATCTTTGACAGTCCTCATAGTGTCTTGTCTTGCCACAGTGGATCATATTCCTCCATCTCACCCTACCCCTCCTCTCTGGTCATCTGTATTTTTCCAAATGGCAACTCCATACTCAAAATGCTTTGTCCAGGATACCCACTATCTCTCCTTTGCACATGTCTAAACCATCTAAAAAGGGGAGGCGAGTCCATGACAGCATTCATAATTCAATTAGTTATGACAACCTCTCCAACACGACTGGCTGAAATGCAACCATGACAGAGCCTCCACCATGTTTTATACATGGCTGCAGACTCTCGCTTGTTGCACCTCTCTCCTGACCTGCTCCATGCATACAGACGATAATTGGAAGTAAAAGTTTTAAATATGGATTGCATCACTCCATAAGATTTGTTGTCAATGAAATTACACAAGTCCAGTTCTTGTGTAATTTTCTTACCTCAGTCTTTTCTCCATGTTTCCCTTCCTTAAAAATGGTTTCTTGACAGCCACCCTTCAACTGAGACCATTTCTGATGAGGGTCCAGTGATCAGCTGAAAGACTAGATAAATCTCCCAGCTCCCGTGGCAGGTCTTTACTGGATCTTTTTCCCATTTCTTAAGGACAAAACTTCCAGATACTGTTTATCTGCTATAGATCGTTTTAGTCCTGGAAAACTATTGCTCAGGACCACTTTAAAAAAATTTACAAGACAGTCTTTGTGATGTTGAAGAGTGTGGCAGTGGACTCCCAAATACAGACCAGTCATGTGCTACAGTCCAAAAGAGTCCAACAGGTGATAATGGCAACCCTGGGAGTCCAGGGAAAAGCAGGAAAACAAACTGATGGGAAACAGAATTAAATAACCCACCAACAAAGAAAAAGGGAAAACTGAAGCTACACAAGTATGTGATCACACCTGAGGGGAACAACACAGGTGCAGACAATCAAGGAAACAAGACGAGGGGAAGTAAAACTGAACATCAGGCACAGAGGACAAATAATGGCCAAAATAAGACAGGAAGTGAAATGAGATGACTAAACATGAAAACACAGACATGAATTAACTAACTGAGAAAATACATAAAGAGCAATATACCAAAAATATTAGTGAGAAATAAGGAAAAGGAAAACTCAAGGCAAATAACAGCACAAACTAAGAATCACTGGAAGATGTTAAAAATAAAACCAAACTGTAAAGTCTAAAAACTCAGTGACCCAGGATCTTGACACTCTGGCTGCTTGGGAACAAAAGATTTTCAAGAAATCAGGAGTGGTTTGAGAGTTTTGCACAGCACCGTGTGTGTGCCTCATGCCGGGCTTGCTCTTTCGATAATTCAGAGTTAAAAGCTTGTGTTCCTACAGCTGATGTAAGGTACTCAGCATGGGAAACATCAGTCACCTTTTGGAAATGTAATTGCACCACATCCAGTCCACACATTAAACTTGATTCCTTGACTCATGAGATTGGCATAGACAAAGCCATTTCATAACACAGGTGTAAGGAAACATTTTCAGGTGAAGTCTTCCGGTGAAGCGCCGAGAGAATCCGTGGCATAAGATCACCGGGTGAAGACGTTTCACCCCCAGCCCCTTATTAAATTCTCTTTAGGTCATGAAGAAATAATTGGGAGTGATTTGAGAAGAGAACAGATGCAGAGTGTTATTAAAAACAGTGGGAAAGCTTCAGCATCAGCTCGCATGTTAATGCCAGAAGCCACAACTCAGGTGACGCTGCACGATGTGGACAGATTCCCTGTAGCTTTGAGGGAGAAAATGCTGCAGAAACAAGACTTGACATCGAGGACAATTTCTTCCTATGATCACATTCTCTATCGCGGTCGCCCATCTCTGGCAGTCAGCTCTGCTTGTGTGCATTGCCTGTGTGTGTGTGTGTGTGCTGTCAGAGCTGTTAGTATGCTGTGGTCACCCTCAGCAACATCGTTCTGACACTCCTGCTTCCACTCAGCCTCCTCCTTGTTTACTTTCCCTACGTTTGTGTGTGTGTATGTGTCTTTGCATGCATGTGTGGTCCTCCTGGTTTTTTGGCATAGCAACTGCTTCGTCACTGGATGCCTCTCTCCTCCTTCTTGCGCATATCCATCTATAGTTAAATATCTCTTTCTCCATTTCTCCTCACCCACCTCACCTCACCCACTGTGTAGAGGAGGAGAAGGTCAGGTATAATGATGCATGCCTGTGGCGTTGTACTTGGTGGGTATTCACTTCCTTCACACCGAGAGGAAGAGCAAAGAACTTTGAGTATAAGACTGACGTTTCTCCTTCTGTTTTCCTTCTTTTCCTTACATCAAGCCTGTCTGTGGTTTCATTAAATGAACAGGATCAGGTTTAGCAAGCAGTGCCCCAACAGGGGTAAATAGCATGCTTCTCGGGTACTATTTTTTGCAGAGTATGCATACACATTTTTTGTAGTGTATTTCGGGTTGAGCCATATAAACTGCTGTGCTCTCATTAGCAGTAATGAATTATGGTGTCACCCTGTGCAAAGGCGCGGCCCAGTTATTTGTTTTAGACGCAAATGAAGCTCAACTACACAACAGAATAAGTCAGAAAAGGCCATTTGGATGCATGTAAAACAGCTGTTCTCAGGGCTTCTCACTGATTTGTTTTGGTCTTGTTATCAGATTTGGATGAAATGAGAAAAAAATAAGATATCGTCAGACTTATCCAACTTGTCACCATCCCTCTGTCTCTTTTACACTCCGTCTCTTGCTTTTTTCCCTCCTCCTCCTCCTCCTATGCCAGAGAACAGGTAGCTCTCAGCCAGCTTGCTGTTGCCATGGTAACTCACCACTCTTCCTCCTCCCTAGTCCCCCCCCAAAAAAAAGAAGAATTACAAGCAGCAGTGACAAAAAGATGGAGGGAAAGGTGGAGAAGTGATGAGGATGACAGAGGACAGAAAATGCATACAGTGAGATACACAATGGAAGAATAATGAATGGAGGGTAGTGAGAAAGCTTCTTTTTTTTTTTGGTCGCAGCTCCCACCTCCCACTTTCCTTCCTCTCCCTCACATCTCGCTCCAGCAATTTTCATGAATGACTGAAGCACTTTAGCCTGTGAAAGATGTGAATGCAACAGAGGCTGAGAGACAAGCAGCGGGCAGACGCCATCGGTCTGTGCTTATTTTTTCTCGACAGAGTTCATCGGTAAAATTTTAATGTAATCACATATTCGAGAGTCCTCGGTGATTTGGAGGGTTTTTGAATTGCAGAAAGGCGGACATTATTGTGTCTGTGAGCAGCCCTACCAAACACCAGACGTCCACGGTTATCGATTTCTGAGCTAAATGTGATCAGACAGTGAAAAAGACGTTGCTGGTGTAATTTTGCATTTTCAGGCATTTCCATTCAGTTTCACATTTACTCACAGAATAATCTAAATTGATTTGAGGTTGAACAAAGGAAAAGTGAACATGTATGTTTAGATCTTTTAGGCTCTAGCAGCCACTGTGATTGGATAAGCAGCGGAAAATGAATGGCTTAATTGATATTA